TTTCTATAATAGTAATAATGTAATAATAATAATCTATACTTTTTCTATAATAACAATAATATATATTTTTATATACATACCTACTTTTTACAAAGGATGACATATTGTGTCGATGACTAGACGTGACAATAAAAGAAAAATAAAGGCACTCTGTGTGTCGGATACTTGTATGTTTTAGATCAACGAAGCGATATAGTGCGAGCGTGGCATTCAAAGGAAGGAGAGAAATCGAGTACCATTATTATTTGATTTGCAAGGTTTTTTGGTGGCCCATGTAAATTCGGAAAATTCCTTCAACTTCCAAATAACGCCTTGGTACAGAAGATTTGGAATTTACACCCTTACAAACAGATGGAGGAAGTAGTCGTCAATCAGGTTTTACTTCACTCTGATTTGTTCATGGATGATATGCATTTTTGCTAGGCCACGTGTCTCCCTACCGCTGTCGAGTGTCACCGTTCAGGAAGTTTTTGTGCCATGCCCGTGGATGATTTCATGAACACGTCAATTATGTTTTCCGGTGCAGCGCACGGGCATATGTGCTAGTGGACAAAAAAGGCATCGATTTGAATTTATTTTTTGCCTAGAGCATTATGAGTGTTTATTCTTCATGAAAATTTGCAGGAATGTAGAATAAACAACACTGTGTGTTGACAAAATTAATAAAACAATAGTTGGTTTGTAGACATCCTTCCAGTGCCAAGGTGACATGCATCCACATCGAGTGATAACCGAGAGCAAATCAAAGCACACGTTCAAAATTCAAATATGAAACACCTTTTTTTTACACAAAAATATGGAACACCTCCTTACTGGCACATTCCTATGAATTAGGTCCAGTCGGCCTAACTAGATGCAAAGGCAGCCCGTTTAAGCCCAGTTCCAAGGCATTATTTCTTTCTGGTGTGTGAGACTGAGAGGAGAGCAAGACCTACCTCCCTTCCCTCAACGCCGCCGTCTGGCGGCCATGGCGGATCCTCTCCAACGCAGCCTCCCCGACGAGATCTCAATCTGGGAGATCCTCGTCCGCCTCCCTCCCAAAGCTCTCCTCCGCTGCCGCGCCGTGTGCCGCGCCTGGCGCAGCGCCACCTCCACCCGCGACTTCCTCCTTGCTCACCACGGACACCAGCTCACCCTTCCCCTCCTCTACGGCTGCACCAACCTCGGCGTCCAAGGCGAGGTCCTAGACATCATTCCCTTCGACCACCGCCCAGGGCTAGTCGCCGCCGACCAGCTTCAGTCCGTCGCGCGACTTGGCCTTGGCCTCTCCTATCCTTGTGTGGAGGCCTCCTGCGACGGTCTCCTCCTCCTCTCCCTAGGCCGGAGAGACTTCTTCGTCTGCAATCCGGCAACTCGTCAGTATGCTCCACTCCAACAAATTTATGCCTACGTGCTGCTGGGGATGTACCCGCACAGCCCAACCGGCGAGTACAGATTATTGCTCTACTGGGACGAGGATTTGATTTATCCAGATCTGGCACCTGGCACACAAGATGGCTCCTATGTCTTCACAATAGGCTCCGGCGAGCCGCCCAGGTACACAGGGTACCCTGATTCAGGCATATTGATGTTTAGCAACTCCATTTTGTTTCATGGTAGCCTGCATTGGCACATAGACAAGGATGCGAGCACAAGCAACATGATAATGTTATTTGACACCACCTCTGAGTCCTTCCGGCAGATGCGCGCTCCGGTTGTTCCTAGCCACGCTTCCCTGTTTGAGATGGATGGAATGCTCGGCATGTCCAGCTTTAATCATGCAGCCACAACCATTGATATCTTGATGTCACAAGACTATGATAGCGAGGCCTGGGCCTTGAAATACCGTGTTGATTTGCCGGTTACAGATCTCACTGCGCAGTTTGGAAAGTTTACCGAAACTTGGAATTTGGTGGTCACTTGTTGGAATGGTGATGTGCTCATGCTGATCAAATTTGGTGAGTGGCTACTTCAGGTTGACGTGGATGGCAAGTTGGTTGCCAGTTTTCACCGCAAATTAGTCTGTTTTACTCAATTCCAACTCAAACAAACTCTTGTTCCACATACCTTCTTTCCGACACTAGCGGGTTATGCTGTGAACACTTTGCCTTAAATATCACCAGATGATTATGTTGTGGACAGCTAGCCTTTCACTCGAGGGCTGTTGAGTGCTTGTTAGCGACATAGCTATCTGTATCCACATGACCTGTAGTATTATTCACTGGATCTGCTATGAGCCCGCTAGCTTCTTTGTTGATGTGTAAAATGTTATAATCAAGGAGCTCTGACCTTACGTGGTTGTGTTTTATTTCTGTGAATATCCTTTTGGGCTGAAGATGGGTGTTGATGCTGAAATTACAAGTCATTTGGGACTGCATTTGAAATATTTGCCAATTGCTCTGGCTCTCCCCTTTGTTTCCTTGAACTGATGAAATGGACTTATCCGCCCTTTATATAATGATCTTCTTAGTACTCAATACTAGTTATCAATTCTACCTGCCTCTTGTCTCTGTTTATTTAGCTGATGAATTGACTTGAGTCTTCTTTATTAGCGACTACCTGGAGGTCTTCTTAGTACGCAAATTTAGGAGTAAATATACACATGCTTCATGAATCCCGATTCTATGTTTTCCTTTTGCTACTCTTAGAGATTAGCTGGTGGTCTTCTTAGTAAAGCTGCACCTGAGTTCTATGATATTCTCTGTTATGGATTTTCTTTTTACAAGAGCTTGAAGCAGTGGTTTAATTTAAAGATTGCATCATAGTCAACTATTGGATGAAATGTTCTGTTTGTGTTCATTCTTGTTCACGATTCATTTCATCTGGTTAGGAATTATAACACATTAACATTCCACCTTTGTGTCGCATCATTTGCAATTATCTTTAATCATTTCACTTTAGCTGCTAGCCATTTTAAAGAATCAATGATTCATGTGATGTTCAATCTAGACATAAGCTCGTGTACTGATAAGTAGAAGAAAGGTTTATCATGGCCGGGCCTTAAGCTTGTGTTTGATCAATCTGACACCGGCCAAAATTAAGTCTCATCATCTTAGACTGCATGTGCATTAGAAGAGCAGGCATTCACCACCCGTGCATACTAGCGTTCCTTGCTTTTTCCACGGCGTGTGCTGCTAACTCCAATCAACATAGCCAAATCACTCCCACTAGTATGCAGAAGTTGAAATTATTACTCACAGGCATGTGCTAGTGTAACTACAAGGGTTGTACGGGGTTTATGCTGAATGCACACAGTGGTCTGTATTTCCAACAAGTTGTTATAATCAGTGACTAAAACTGCACATATGCTGCACCCTTGTGATCATTTTCAGTGACTAAACCTGGTATTATGGTCCAGATTGAAATCGCACTTACACATCCATGCTACACAATCAAGTGAGCAGGATATCTATATATAAAGCAACACTACAACAACTCTAAACTGCTTGATAATTTGTCATTACAGAATGGAGCGTACACATTCACAGAACTGCTTCAACCACAGATAATGTACCAGGTAAAAAGAAATTGAAACATGGCAAAAGTGCAGAGCCTTGAAAACAGTAATTAAACTTATATTACATGGATTCCCCCCTTCCTAGGAGGAACATTATAGATAATTCCAGGGAAATACAGAAACTGAAGACACTATGATGAACACTGCCATTAGCAATGATCAAACAGCAGCAGACAACAAGACAGTAAGAAGCATGAACAAGAATGTTCATATGATAGATCTGCAACACAAGCATCGGAGAGAGGGTTAAATTTCCAAGCATCAGAAAGAAAAGTAAACAAAACTAATTACTATAATCAAATAATAGTAAAAGTTACAGAGGCGCACTGTAACAATGAAAATGCTTTGAACACATCCTGGAAAACAAAAACTGAACCAAACTAATACTAGAAGCTACCAAAACTTATCATTTACTTTCATCATAAAACAGTAGAAGTTACTGAAGCAGACTGTAAAAAAAATGAATAAAAAAACTAGGAACTATCCAACTTATAGAAAACTGAACAAGCACTAATTGTGACCACAAACACATTAAACCTATCCGAAAACTGGACTCCAAATTACATATCCTTAGCACTTTGAATTACTATCACCACAACATAGTAAACCTATCTAAAATGCACGGTAAAATACAGATCCTTAGGACTGTAAAATACTCTGACCCCGGGACAGTAAACATATACTGAAAATGCACATATCCTTAGCACTGAAAATTATTGTGACCTTGGGACAGTAAACCTATCTGAAATGCACTGTAATTTAACACCATTATCACTGAAATGCTCTGGCCAGCAACACAAAAAAGAAGAACCATACCTCGTTACCGAAGCGAGTACCAAATGTTGTTTCAACTTCAGTAGCAAAAGGAATAAGACGAGGAACATGATGCACCGCTCACAATGAATGCTTCTCGCAAGACTTATACAAAATGATTAAGATGGTAAACCAAAAACAACAGCTCTTCCACAACCCTTCCTCAATCTACCCATCTATTTTCACTAACCATGGTAAATTGATTATGATAGTAAAAACTAAAAAACAACAGCTGAATGAACACCCTCCCACTACTAGACACACTCAACTAAATCATTATTATCATTCACAAAAAGAATTTCTTTTATAGAGACCAACTTGCATAACTAACTAAAAATTATAGGAATCAGTCAATCAGCACTACAACTAACACACACTAAATACCACCTACAAAATATGCCACTACACCAGGAAGCAACAAATGTAAAGGTAATACTACAATTACAATGTAATTCACTGAAATTACACTGGGATTTACAGATAACTACACTGATGTTACAGTGTAATTACACTGCAATTTAGACTGGAATTTGTACTACATAGTATAGTAAGTTACATGGTTGTACAACACTATGCAATTATACTGGACTACCAGCATATCAAAACTGAAAATTTAAACTGGTAGTTTCAGTAGAAAATCACTGTAAGTAACACTAAAAAAACTGGAAATACAGTGCAAATCATTGAAAGTTACACTGAAAAATATCACTACAAGTTACGCTGGAATACTGGAAAATACAGAGTAAAATCACTGTAAGTTACACATTACTTATAATGTAATATGGACTGTAATTATAGTAAAAATTTCACTGTAAATTAAACTAAAATTGCATTTACACTTGACTACAATGAAATTAAACTGAAATTCCACTCAAATTTACACGAAATTCGACCTACCATACTGTATATATCTTGCAGTTTAATCATACACCTAATAGACGCCCAAAGGGATCATATAACACACACTAGAGGGGGCTTTGAAATTAAAAGACAGCGGAAGCAGAAATAAAAATAGACAGAGGGATCCAACGTTGCAACTACATCCAACGCTACATCTAGAATTTACACAAAATTTCAGGAAATGAAACAGGGGCAAGGAGATACAAGCAACAAAACAAACTCAGGCAGGGGGTGTAGGGGGGAGGGGACGCAGAACGCGCGAATCAACAACTGAAGGAGGAGGAGCACGAATCAATCAAACCGCGACGCTTGGGGAGAAGGAAGCAGGGGGAGAGCACCAGAGACCTGACCACCAACACCTCAAGAGAGCAGGGAGGGAGAGCTCCATGTTCTCACTGCGCCTGCCGCTGGAAATGGGAAAGGAAACGGACAAAGCCAGCTACAGGGGAGGAGAAAAAAAAAGGAAAGAGACGCGATGGGCGAAGTTAGCGGGTTCTTGAAAAGTTTACGGGCCCGATAAGAGTCAGGCAGCCTGAGAGCTGAAGAAAAAACAGAATTGCACGAATCTCAACACATATATCAAACGGGCAAAAAAACGAATGAAAGCGAATTGATTTCATCCAACTAAAAATTAGCAATTCTGTTTATTAAGGGTATGTCTTTTTAAATCATTGGATCAAAGCTACAATAGTGTTTGCTTGGATCTGCGATGTGTAAGTTAACACAATATTTACACATAAGTTCTTCGAATCAAAGTTGCGATGATTTTTGTACGTCAGTTAACAAGCATGAGATGCATAAATTACCGAGCTATTTAAACATAAATTACCGATGATATGTTTTAATGAAAAAAATCTCGTGTGATAAATCATGTACATATTACTAACAAAATGAAACATTCGTTGTTTACGTATACCTATGTGTTAACAAAAAATTAATCACTGGGGTCAAAGTTATCATGGTGTTTGTGTGTAATTTATCAAGTCAGTAGCATGCAAGTTATCATGCAATTTACAACGAAGTTATCGGGTATGTTTTAACAAACCTTTTTCTTGGGTCCAAGTTATCATGACGTTTGTACGTAAGTTATCAGATCCTTCACGCATAAATTACCATGCTATTTACACATAAATTGTGGGGGATGTTTAAATAACTTTTTTGAACCATGTAAATGATATGAAACATGCGGAAAAACTTGGATGCACAACTTAAAGTAATTGGGAACAATGAGACTGTTGGTTCAATTTCTTTGAGAAACTCGTATTGAGAATAAGTAGTGTGTACCTTGTGACAAAACAACAAATTGATCTAGGCTAGTTGGTTGTTTATGTTTGATTGGCACATGAGGTTGTGGGTTTGACTTTCGGCTACTACAACATTTTTTGGCTACTAGCAAACATGCCCGTGCGTTGCAACGGGAGGAGAAATCACATGTCTAGTCTAGTAGACATGCCTCAACACCTCCCTTCCTCAGAGCCACGTTCTCTATTTTAACACAGTGGCCCATTATATCCCCACTTGCCAGCTTCATTGTGTCAAGTTGAAACAAAAGGCCCACTTGCCTCCTTCATTGTGTCAAGTTGAAACAAAAGGTGCTTGAAACAAAAGGTGTCCCAAAGTAGGTGTTTACCTTTTTTGCAAAACTTAGTATAGAGAATGCAATACGTGCTTGTCCCGCTTGTTTCTTCTTTGTTGCATCTTTGCAAATGTAACATTTGATGCGTCTGCATTGTTGCCTTGTGATGGATGTTATCCGTTGTCGGGCCTTCTCTTCTCAAGTGTCAATTCCGCATCAAAAAACTTGGCCTTCTGGTTTTCAAGAATTTCATACTTCTGTGACCCCATATTATCCATAGACTGATAGCAAAATCCTCAATCGATCATGTCCTTCAAGTTGCACGTTGCTTTCTACCACATCGTTTTTAAACGAAGGCCACTCGTGCATTGTTTTTCCTTTCTCGATCGATCTAAAGTTCAAAGTTTGGGTCCTCACATAGTACGTGTCTCCTTCACATTTGAATTGACATATAACATAATTCAAATATAGAATATGATAGTTGCAGGCACACCTCGTTCATATGTATGTGCACGTCACGGTTCCAGCACTTCGTTGCGGAAGGCGGCAAACGGCGGGAAGGAGCGTTGGTGTTGGCAGACAAGAACCCTAGGTGTGATTTATTTCCTCGCAAGAGAAGGGAGGCAAGAGAAAATCCATGCAGTAGGAATGACAGGAGGGGGAGCGAGCTATGAGTCGAAGTGATTAAATATGCTGGATAACTAAACATCATGCAAAAAAGGTAAGAAAAACCAAAAACAAAAGAAATAAGAGTTGTCCATGGGTGCTGAGTATAGGCAAAGAAAGGTAGGAGATGGCTAACATGCCAACATGTACTCCCCGCAAAAAAAACATGCCAACATTCAAGCGCACCCTTTTTTTTAAGAAAACATGCAAGTGCACTCAAGAGACACTAGTAGAAAAGGGGGCTTTGGTCCAGGCCGGGTAAGCCCATTAGTCCCGGTTCAGTCCAGAACCGGGACCAATGGGTGCATTTATCCCGGTTCGTGCGGCTAAGGCATTAGTCCCGGTTCACCTGGGCCCTTTAGTCCCGGTTCGTGCCACGAACCGGGACTAAAGGGTGCGATGCCCATTAGTCCCGGTTGGTGGCACCAACCGGTACTAAAGGTTAGACCTTTAGTCCCGGTTGGTGCCACCAACCGGGACTAATGGACTTTGAGGCATTAGTACCGGTTCATGGCACGAACCAGTACTAAAGGTCCCATTTTCAAACTCCCCCCCCCCCTTGGACCGCCTTTTCAGTTTTAGAAAAAACAAAAGAAAATGATGGAAATGTCAAAAAAAAATAAAATAAAATAAGTTTCCCATGTGATATGTGGTCTAGTTGTTGGGAAAATTTACAAATATGAATTTCTACTTTATTTACAAAATCTCTCTGGAATTTGTAAAATGGGCATAACTTTTGCATACGAACTCGGATTAAAAAGTTTTTTATATGAAAAATCATCTACTCAAAAAATTACATCTGATGGAGACCGCCTACGGCCTGTTTGCAAATTTGTAGAATCCTCAAATTCCAAAAGGAAAAAAAAGTTATGCTCAAATTTCAGTTTTTTTAAATTTTCATTAAATCTGGTCAAACTATGGTCAAACTACTTATTCAAGAAGTATTAGTGTTACTAAATAATTATTCAAGAATATTAGTGTTATTAAATAATTATTTCAGTTTTTTTGAATTTTGGTCAAATCTGGTCAAACTATGGTCAAACTGTGGTCAAACAATGGTCAAACTACTTATTCAAGAAATATTAGTGTTCCTAAAAAATTATTATTTTTTAGAACAATAGTTTCAAACTCAAACAGTGAAATGTGTGACTTCATGCTCAAGCTAAACTCCTGAGGGTTAATAGGATTGGCATCTTACTGTTGTCAGGAAAACAACGAGTGCAGACTTGTAAACGAGGGAGAATAGAACCCGGAAGTTAAGCGTGCTCAGGCTTGGGGGAGTGGGAGGATGGGTGACCATACGGAAAGTTAGATGATTTGAAATGATGAGGGGTGATTAGAGATTAAATTGAGCAGTGATGAGGGGTGATTAGAGATTAGAGGTTAAAATAATTCAGAAATTTGAAAATAAAAAAAATTCAAAAAAAATCAGAAAATTTCCTTTAGTACCGGTTGTTACCAACCGGGACTAAAGGTGGACCGGCCACATGAAAGGCCTTTAGTCCCGGTTCTGATTTGATTGGGGGCTGGTGCGCACGTGGAGGCCCAACTGGGCTAGACGGATTGAGCAGAAATAGAGATGACGCCCTACTTCATTTTTGGACATAGAACAAAGCTAGCGCAGTTGGCCTGGTTGTACGGTGCGTACCCATGAGGTCGTGAGTTACACCACCACGGCATTAATTTTTCCTTTTCCTCAGAAAGGCTGTGCGCAAGCTATGGGCCCAAGCGACGAAATTTTAGATGGAAGTGCTTTTTATTTTCTAGCGGTCGAACGCCCCAAAATTTAGTACCACCTTGAATAGAAAAAAATTCTAATATATTTTAGCGGTGAATGGATGAAAAATTTAGAGAAACACACCTTGCTTTATTAGTAGGTATAGATATAGATATAGATTTATTGCACCATATAAAAAATTACAACAAAATCAGATCCCATTAAAGCATAATAATTTTGAGACGTCGATCCAAAATTCATTCAAAGGTGTCAGCTATTCCCTAAAATTGGATCACATTAAAGCCGCAATTATTCTGCGTCGTGATTGTTTTCAAAAAATCGTATCTCATTAAAGCTGCAATTATTCCACAGCGTGCGATCGGCTATTTATCGCACCATAGGAAATTTGCTACAAAATCCGATCCCATTAAACCATAAATAATTTTGGGGCGCATGACATGAAAGTCATGAATTACGACATTAGAAAAAATACGTTGTAAAATCGGAGTTCATTAAAGTGCCAACAATTCACGGCACGCGATCAAAAAGTCAATAAAAGGTGTTAGCTATTCCCTAAAATTGGATCTCATTAAAAGCGGCAATTATTCTGCTGGCTTGACCGTTTCTAAAAAATCAAATCTCATTAAAGCAACAATTATTCCGCAGCATGCAATCGGCTATTTAAGCTGATTGTAATGGGGAGTATCATATATTAGTATCATGTATGTGATACTAGTATATGATACTACTTCCGTAATGCATAGTATCATAAGTTAGTATCTTAAATTGCCTTATTAATTGTGATGCATGACACAAAATAGTACAAATATTTAATATGATACAGTATCATTATATGATACCATGTCCTCTATTTCCTCATTTAATTGTGTGCCACATCATTTAAAAAGTCTAGTTGGCATGCATGATACCACTTATAATATCCCATTTCGACCAACCTTAGATCACACCATAGAAAAATTTCCTACAAAATCGGATCTCATTAAATTGTAAATAATTTCGGGGCGCATAACAGGAAAGTCATTTATCACGACATCAGACAAATACTTGTAAAACCGGAGCTCATTAAAGTGCCAACAATTCGACGACACGCGATCAGAAAGTCATTAAAAGGTGTCAGCTATTCCCTAAA